CCCTTCGACACCTAGGACACAAAATGTTGAGCTCCAACGCCAGCTTACCCTGGCCCATGATCACATCCGCCAGCTCCAAGGTGGTCAACCCCTGCCTCCCCACCTCGCAACACAGCCTGTTGCCCCTTTCATCTACCGACAACATCAGACACAGGCCGCTGCGATGCATTTCACTCTCCCACCACCGACCACCATGATGTGTCAGGGACCTTTGCCCCAACTTCCTGCTCCTTCCAGTGCTCTTGCTGGTGCCACGACTTGTTCTGCCCTCTTGTCACAGTGGACTCTTCCTCTCCCTAACCATTATCGGCCCTCGATGTATGTTCCACAATTCCGACCGGATCGCCTCCCACAGTTGACGGCAGGGCCTCCGAGCTCCAAGGATGGATCTCTACTGTTAAGGAGCAGCTTCGCTACCATGGTGTCGCCATGGAACCGTGGCCCGTCGAGATGTCCTCTCGCTTTACAGGTCGTGCAGCCTCCACCTGGCGCGACTTCCTCGCCCTTCACTCACAACGCGATGTACATGAGGGCACGTCTTATCCTGAGTTTCTCGACTTCCTTCAGCAGTACTTTTCTTGCCCTGCGACAACCCGCGACCCGATTACCCGTGTGGCTGAGATCAGATGGCTTGGTGGCGACAAGATTCCCGAGGACAGCATGATCCAACGATTCCACCGTGTACGTGCCCAGATTCCCGTCACAGCCATACCCGAGGATAGCATGATCCAACGATTCCGCGTAGGTCTACCCCAACCATTCCATTTGCAGATGATGGCATATTCGATCCCCTCCTTACCAGAGGCTTTCAACATTGCTAGGGCCATTCATCTCACTTATGCTCCACTCGTCGGCCCCTCGCCGCAGCCCATCGCTGCCCATTCCGCTACTACTGTAGGCCCTCGCCCCTCCCAGCCTCGACAGTCTTCCACATATGGTCGTGGCCCTCGTAGAGGCTCTGGACGATCCCTCTCTCGCCGCTTGCGTGCCTTGCTTCGTGATGATGGCACTGCTTCAGATGGTTCTGCGAGTGACCCAGACCAGGGACCCGACCCTCAGTCCCCCGCAGAGGACGACGTCTCTTCCTAGGACGACCGCCTCGTCCGGGCCTTTTTCACCCTCCTCCGTCGTTAGCCCTCATCCTCCAGGACTCGCCCTACAGTCCCTCAACTACCCCTCCCAGCGGGCTTTGTGTTCCCTCGCAGCAGCTTGACCATCGTTGAGAGTGAGGACCTCCGTACACGAGGCATCTGCACCCGCTGCCGCCTCGCCGACCATACCTCCTCTACAAGCCCGTACTCAAACGCCCTCCAGAGTCACTTCGCACAGCAGGCTTGCCCCCAGGCTGTTCCCCCCGTCTCGACCTCCAGTGCAACACCCACGTAGCTGCGACGTCTCATTCCCCAAACCCTCCTACGATCGCAGGCATACCCGTTCGCAACTTTACCTTTGCGCCGCTTGCTACTCTTCCCGACGACTTTGGCCGGACCTTATCTTTGGCTGACAATACCGACACTGGTATACCTTCTCCTTCTTCGCCTAGCGTCTCTCGTGACCTCCCTCCTCCACGTCCTCCTACCAGGCCTGCTCTTCGCACGGCTCGCTGCAGTGCTTCCCTTATTGCAGCTGAGGATATCATCGACTTCTTGGACCTCGAGCGTGTTAAGGTCTGTCAAGAACGCATCCGCCTTAAAGAGCGCACCCTGTCCGCGATGTCTCAGCGCCTACACAATCCCGATCGCACCTTGCCGATTATTCCAGTGCGCCTCGGGACCTCTACAAGAGTGTATCACGCAGTATGGGACTCTGGCTCTACTGGCGACTTCATTCATCCTCGCGTAGTTAAGGAGGCATCTCTCTACACGTCCCCCTACCCTTCCACTGTCATTGTCATGCTTGGCAACAATCAGGCCAAATCCTTTGTCGACTGTGTGGTGCCTTATCTTCCATTCTCCTTCCCCTTGGGGATGCCCCACAACCTTCACAAGGCCCCTCGGTTTCATGACCAGTGGACCTTCGACGTCATGGAAACCCTATACGATCTTGTTCTCGGCACTGCCTACTCCCATCAGTTCGCCCATGCCAGCCCCGATTGGGCCCACAACGATCTCGTCCTCGACGCCAAGGATGGGAATCAATACCGTATTCCGTTGTTGGTTAAATCAGACTCTACACTTCCCCCCCCTGTTAATGTCACCATCTGTACACCTACCCAGTTCCACCACTTCCTTCGTCAGCCTGATGTCGAACTTTGTGTTGTCGACATCACGGATCTCCTCACCTGCAACTCCATGCATCAGGACGTTGAGTTGGTCGAGCTTGATCCACCACCTCCCGATCCCCCTAACCCTCCTCATTCCTCAACTTCCTTACCCTCTACCCCTGCTAGCCTGTCTCACCTCCTCGCTTCCCTTACCACGGACACACCCTCAGTCCCCACCTCCACACGGATTCCCTCCACCTTTGCTTGAAACGTCGCTGTCAAGGAATTTGACACCTTTCTTCCTTGCCGCCTAGCGTTGGTGTCCTTTGCGAGTATCGCGATGTTTTCCCACCATTCGTCTCCTACAGCAGTATTCCTCCCATTCGCGATATCGAGCACCACATCCAGCTCGAGCCCAACTATCGCATTCAGAATGGCACCCCATATCGCCTTTCGGCTCCCGAAGCCCAGGAACTCAAGCGCCAACTTGAGGAGCTGCTTGGTCAAGGCTTCATTAAGCCGAGTACTTCCCCATGGAGTACCCCGGTTCTCTTCGATCGCAAGAAGGACGACACCCTTCGTCTCTGTATTGACTACCGCGCTCTCAACCACTACACGGTCAAGAACAACTTTCCCATGCTCCGCGCGGTTGATCTGTTTGACCGCCTCGCTGGCCACCATTTCTTCACGAAGATCGATCTTCGTAGCAGATATCACCAGCTCCACGCAGCCGAGGAGGACCAGCCCAAGACCACTTTTCGTTCTCGTTTCGGGCACTACGAGTTTCCTGTCATGCCTTTCGGTCTCCGTTATTCCCCCACCACTTTCCAGACGGCTATGAACACGATGTTCCAAGACCTTCTTGAGGACTCTGTTCTAGTCTACATTGACGACATCCTGATCTACAGTCGTACCCTAGAGGATCACCTGACCCATCTTCGCACTGTCCTGCAGCGACTATGCGATCACGAGTTCTATGCAAAGCTTTCCAAACGCAGCTTTGCTCCACCCAAAATCGAGTTCCTCGGGCATTAGGTATCCGAGCACGGCCCCCACATGGACAACTCTAAGATCCAGGCCATCGTTGATTGGCCTACCCCTACATCTCTCCCCGCCCTGCGTAGTTTTCTTGGTTTGACCAACTACTATGGTCCTTTTCTAAAAAACTACGCGCAATATTCTCCCAGCTTACCCCTTTAACCCGCGGACGTTTCCCTTTTCATTGGACCCCGGCTCACGAGGATGCCTTCCACTCTCTCAAGCGACTTGTCACATCATCTCTTGTCTTACACTTACCCGGCTACTCGTGTACATTCATCGTCACCATCGACGCGTTCGACTTCGCTATTGGAGCTGTTCTCTCCCAGATCTACCCAACCCCTTCTACTTCTCCCGATTCAACAGAGTCCCGCCTCCCTCGCATTCCTCGCTTCTCTCCTCCACCTCCAGTGACTACGGGTCATCTTGCACCCATCGAGCCCACCCCCTCAAGGGCCCCACCCCCTTATATTCCTGGCGTCACTGATGACGGTACAGTCGAGTCTCGCGATGGAGAGTGTCTGGTTGCTTATCTATCTCAACAGCTACTTCCCACTGAGCGTAACTGTACTGCTGACGAGCGTGAGGTCCTTGCGCTGGTCTACGCTGTTAAACCACCAGTACCTACCGGTGTTCAAGGCCCGCCCCTGCAACTACCGGTAGGCGTAGCCTACGGCTACCACGCCGAGCCTACGACTACCGGTAGATGAGTGACAAGGTATTTTACAAACATTTTATTGGAAAGAAATGAAAAAAAAAACAAAAAAAAAACAAAGAAAACTGCATACGTGAAAAACAAAACAAAAGAAAAAAAAAATCGGAAAAGCAAGTCCGACATACCCTTGTTCCCCGTGAGAGAGAGAGAGAGAGAGAGAGAGAGAGAGAGAGAGAGAGAGAGAGAGAGAGAGAGAGAGAGAGAG